TACAGCCTCAGGGTTTCCAGAGCCAGATGCAGATGGTGCCGCCAAACAGCAGGGGGCAAAGTTAGCTGGTCTCCCTGAGCCCAGAGACCCCTGACCATGGAGACTCTTAGTGTAGACCCAGAGACCCTGGTCTACACTAGCGGGGTGGGGATCGATCTAAGTTACACAATTTCAGCTACGTGAATAAGGTAGCTGAAGTCGACGTACTTAGATCGACTCACTGTGGTGTCTTCACCGCGGTGAGTCGACTGCTAGACTAGACGCGATAAATCAATCCCTGCTGGATCGATCGCTGCCCGCCAATCCAGTGAGTACTGTAGACATTTAGACATTCAGATCCACAGCTCGGGGCTGCTTCGTCCCAGGCCCTCGGGCATTGGAACATCTGAACTGTCTGGAGCTGTTCGGGTGTTATACCAATAAAATAAATATCAGCAGGATCTTATTAAAGGGAATAAGGCAAAATGACACATTTACTGTGAACACAGAAAGAATCATAGTAAGCAGTTAGTTATAGCTATAACATTCCATTCAATTTCATATTTATTCACACGTTCATTCATACACACACACACACACACAGGTTCTGCAAGGTTGTTATCATAGTTACCAGCCTTAGAGTTGCTCATGCCAAGCCACTGGCCAGGTGGCCTGGACATGAGGAGGGAGCAGGGCCTTGTCAGATTCTCATCTGATGCTCCTGGAAGTTGGTTTGCAGAATCAGACCCCAAAGTTCTCAGTTTCTAGAATCCATTTTTATAGGAATTTATTCCTATGCCAGTCTATGGGAATTGCTTCATCATGCTGTTGCTGAATCAATCAGCAGATAACACATTCCTGACGGCTCTGTGCTGCCAGATGTTATCTTGTTCTTTGTTTCTCCCATCCTTGAGGCTGTTGGGTGGATTCCAGTCTGCCCTCCGGGGGTCCTCTGGTTGTCTCCACTCTGCGAGAGATTTTAAGTGAGTACAAGTGTAAGGTATTAAAGTCAGATTGGTTACAAGAGAAATAAAGATAAATTGCTTCCTAGTACTAAACCTTAGCAAAGCAGACTTGGCTCAAGGTGAAATCCCTTACCACATGCTCTGAGTAACATTGCTGAGCCAATTCTCTGGCCAAAATCTGCTCCCAAAGTCCAAAGGCTGTTTCTTTTGTCTTCTTAGGGGAAAGAGAGAGAGATGAATAGGGAGAGATACCTTGGGGTGTTTCTGCCCCTCACTTTTATTGTCCAGTCCCCCTTTGAAATGAATTTTATTGAGGATTATGCCTAGATGAAGTACATTCCTGCTGTGAGGACAGAGACAAGGAGTCTCACGGTGAAAAATGTGCCAGGCTGTTGTTTGTTTAAATGCAGATAGGGTTGTTCCTTCCCCACTTCCTGGCCTAAGACTGCCCACTTGATAGGTGGTTGCCCATCAACTTTGATGATACCTGGCTAGACTCCTTTGTGTTCAAGAAACTGCTTTACTCAGACTTGTTTGGTAAATGCATTTCAGACCTAATTTCAGCTTATGTTTATTATTTTATGTAGAATGTTGCATACATTTCGTCATGATAGTATTGACAAGTGAGTTATTGGTTTTCAAAGCTCTCTCCAATAGGCTTAGAGCAGCTGAGCCAATGCAGCATTTTAAGTTTAGACTTTCCCTTAGAAGGTTTTCTTAATAGCTTACCTGAATCTCTGTTCATACAGGCTAAGCCCATTACTTCATGTCCCACCCTGTGTGGACATGGAGAACCAGTGATCACCATCCTCTTTGTAACAACTTTTCACACATTTGAACACTGTTTCCAGGTCCCCCTTCAGCCTTTTGTCCTCTAGACTAAACATGCCCAGTTCTTTCAGCCTTTCCTCATAGGTCATGTTTTCTAACCCTTTGATAGTTTTTGTTGATGTCCTCTGGACTCTCTCCAATTTGTCCATAACTTTCTTAATGCATAATATATTATATTATTAATTAATTAATAGTAATAATCATTAAGATAATCATTTAATCAACCGACACACATTCAATTATTTCATTCTCTCCAAATAATTAACTCCTTTCAGCCATAGATTGTAGATAGATAGGTCAATAGATTTTTGTTTATCAGCCAGTTTTTCAAAGTGATCTAAAATGGAAACAAATAGGTAGATTACCCTGTAATTTGCCATGCCACATCAGGGACAGAGTGCAGTTAGAAGTGCAAATTTGGGGTTTGGTCATGGGGCTTCTGACATACATCCTCCTGCAAAAAATTACCACTTAAGAATTGCCAATGCTTATAATGTTTTACTTAGCAGACCTGGGGAACTAACCAGTTGCAGAAACCCCCCAACAACCCACTCTCCTGCTGGTAATAGCTTATCTAAAGTGATCACTCTCCTTACAATGTGTATGATAATCAAGGTGGGCCATTTCCAGCACAAATCCAGGGTTTAACAAGAACGTCTGAGGAACAGTGGAGGGGAGGGAGGGGAGAAAAACCTGGATTTGTGCTGGAAATGGTCCACCTTGATTATCATACACATTGTAAGGAGAGTGATCACTTTAGATAAGCTATTACCAGCAGGAGAGTAGGGTGGGGGGAGAGAAAACCTTTTGTAGTGATAAACACCCATTTTTTCATGGTTTGTGTGTATAAAAACATCTTCTGTATTTTCCACAGTATGCATCCGATGAAGTGAGCTGTAACTCATGAAAGCTTACGCTCAAATAAATTGGTTAGTCTCTAAGGTGCCACAAGTACTCCTTTTCTTTTTGCGAATACAGACTAAGACGGCTGTTACTCTGAAAACTGGTCATAAACTGACACAGAAAAATCCACAGACTTCAACGGAGAAAAAAGAACTATAAGAACAGGATGCTTTGCCATAGGGCTTTAGGTTCATCTTGCAACAACTCCAGGAGCATCGGATCGTGACCGACAGAGCCCAGCTCCCCTCTGTGACCAATCTGGCTGGTGACTAGATTGATCCAGACTCTGTACTGGTAACTATAAACATCGACTGGCAGGACTGTGTGCATGGTGTGTGTGTGTAACTGAAAAGCATATGCTTTATTCTCAATAAATGCGGCATGTTGCCTTCTCCCCTATAAAAAATCTCGTGTACTTTGTATAAACATAACAATAAGAGTTATTCAAAAATTTTCTAACAGATACAAAATTTGTAAATTATTGTAAAGGTCAGAGTTAAGGTTACAATTTGAGCTAAAAGTGTTTTTCTTTGAAGTTTCTGAGAAGGGCATTGCATGTTGAAATGACCTCATCATATACACTATCGAGGATTCAAATGTTTAAAGAATATATGTTCCCATGATTCAGGGTATAAGTCAGCCTCTAACTGTCTGCACTGAGGAAGAAATTTCTGTTATGGGTAGATTGTCTCATTGCCTATTCTCTGACATACATATCCTAGAACAGCCACCAACTGCCATAGCTGCACTTTACCATGACAACTTGTTTGAAGTATTGTTGTAGTCAGGCTGGTCCCAGGATACGAGCAATGCAAAGTAGGTGAGGTAATCTCTTGTATTGGACCAACTTATATTGGAGGCTTCAAAAGAAAGCTGCACAACACCTTCAAAAGATGACACTGAAGAATTTAAATTCATAAGTCTTCTGGACACTGAAAACCCTGGACTTAAGAGAGACTCTGGTTTTATGGCCCATTACAACAATTTGTGACACACCCTGCTGCCTACTAACCTTTCATTGTCTGACAACTGCAGAGGTGTTAATTTTCCACTTTGTGTTTATTGCCCATTTCATTTTAAGTGGTTTTCTGCAATGGGCTTAACCACCTGTCCTGTCTTGTATTTAACTTGAACACTCTGGTTACCCTCTCCAGAGTTCTGTGAAGCTCGAAAGTTTGTCCCTTCCATCCACATAAGTTGGTCCAATAAACGGTATTATCTGTTTTCCTTGTCTCTCAACTCTGTTTCTTGGCATCCAGATGTGCCACAGGGTGGACTGAGCCCTTTATGAGGGAACTACTCCCACTCACCTTTGGCTCATTAACAGCCTTGACGAGGCCTGACAGGGGACAGGAGTTCCTGATAAAGAGCCAGAGGGGAAGGGAACAGGAGGTGGAAGCTGTGGCAGAGAAGAGCAGCATTAAGCAGGAGGCCCTTACAGGGGACCCTGACTGGGAGAAGGGATGGGGCCTGGAAGCCAGAGCCAGAAGTTGAGCTCTAGCTCGGAAGGGCTGGAAGTGGTGGCTTTATGAAGTGCTTACCAGGATGGAAGAAGAGCCCGGGTGTGGTAGAAGACCCCAAAGCTGAATATGAACTTTTGAGTTGTTGTGATGAACTTTCTTTTGGCATTTGGAGGGTTCTTCTGAACTGTTTCTGTTATTAAATGAGCCCCAGGCAGGTCTGGTGTTAGCCACGAGAAAGACTGTGAGGATTTCTTAAGGGCTCCTGAAGAGGAGAAAGAGAGGCAAAGCGCCACAGAGCCAACCCTTGTCATGAAGGGGATTTTGGGAGGTGGAGGGCCCTGTTACAGTATCCTATGACTGCCATCAATTGCCACAGATCCATTCTGATTTAATTTTGTGACATATTATTAAGGATAAGAATAAAACTAGAGTCATAGTTAGGAGCCCCAGTCGCAACTAGGATCTGTATAAATACAGAATAATAATAATAATTAATAAAACGCCTTATGTCCCAAAGACCTTACAATCTAAGCATCCATTTTCAATGACAAATCTATTTATTGGCAATGTATCCTATTGATCCCAAAAATTGCCACAGATCCAATTTTCTAGGACACTTTGATTCCCTGGCATATGGATCCTCCTTTGTCACTAAGTGCCACAGAACCACTTTTCTGCGATGAAGCCATTCCCTGGCAGAAGGATCTGACCTGCCACCCAACTGGCCCAGACTGACTATTACAAAGTCACAAGTGGGCATGGTTTATTCAGAGCAAATGGGGCTGCCCTTGAATGTGACCCTCCTGTGTATGGCTATTGGGGCACCTTTCAGCCTTATCTTTGTCCCTTCTCCCTGCAGCAGGAAAGAGGGAATGGAAGGTCCCAGTGGGAGTTTATCCTATTGGGGGTCTCTGACCAGCCATGCCTGAAGATGTTGCTTTTTGTGGTCTTCCTGGTCTTGTACGTCCTGAACCTGGTGGGGAACCTGGCCATCATCATTGTCTTGTGGCTGGACACACCCCTATGTATTTCTTCCTTAGCAACCTCTCCTTCCTGGATCTTTGCTACACCACCAGCACCATTCCTCAGATGTTGGTGAATTTACAAGTTCATCACCTGGGCCGGCTATGTGGCCCAGCGCTACATCTCCCTCTCGCTGGCTGGCACTGAGTGTATCCTGTTGGCCGTCATGGCCAACGACTGCTACGTCGCCATCTGCCACCTGCTGCACTACACTATCGTCATAAGCTGCCGCCTCAGCCTGCAGATGGCGGCCACCATCTGGCTGAACAGCTTCGGCAACTCCATCCTTCAGACCAGCCTGACCGTGTGGCTGCCCCGGTGCGGACAGAACTGGCTTGACCACTTCATCTGTGAGGTGCCGGCCCTGCTCAAGCTGGCCTGTGTCGACACCTCTGACAATGAGGCCCAGGCATTTGCTGTCAGTGTGATCTTCCAAATGGTGCTGCTGGGCCTCACCCTGGTCTCCTACAGCTACAAAGGCACCATAAATAAATTACCTGGAAGGAAGAATTTAAACGGAATAGTGTAAATGATAATTGGGAACTGTTTAAGAACACTTTACTAGGTGTCTGAAACTCACAATCAATGAAAAAGGTCACGTTGGTTTAAAAAACCAACAACAACATGGGCCATGGCTCTGAGGGGAAGGGAAGGCAAATATAAAAAGAAGAAAATAATATATAATGAATAGAAGAAATGGAAAGTTGATAGTAATGTACGTAAATTAAAAGTTAGAAATTGTAGAAAATTGATAAGGTAAATAGCAGAATTAAGAACAATAAGATATTTTTAAGTATTAGGAACTAAAAGAATCCTAATAATGATATTAGCCCATTACTAGATGGAAATAGCAGAATTCTCAATAATAATGCAGAAAAGACAGACGTTCAATAAATATTTCTGTTCTATATTAGGAAAAACCAGATACTGTCATCATATCATATGATGATGAAACTTTCCAATAGTATCTTGTGAAGATGTTAAAGAGCAGCTACTAAAGTTAGGTAGTTTTCAATCAACAGGTCTGGAAAACTTTCATCCAAGAGATTTAAAAGAGTTGGCTGAGAAGCTCATTAGACCATTAATGGTGATTTTCTATAACTCTTGAAACACTGGAAAAATTCCAGAAGACTAAAAGGGTGCTTTAAAAAGAGTAAATGGAATCACTTGGGTAACTGTAGGCCTGTCAGCCTGACATTGATCTGGGAAATATTAATGGAGTGGCTGATACAGAACTCTATTAATAAAGAATTAAAGAAGGGTGTGAAGGAACAGAGAGATTGCTGCTGGGTACAGCAGGGGTCAAAGAAAACCTGTGGGCTCACCTAGTCCCACTGCGTTATACCTGCAGCCAATGCCAGGCCTGGAGGGGGGAGAAAAGAAGAGAGCCTGGCTCAGTCAGGGGCTGACTGGTGAAGAGGCAGGAGCTCTCTGTATACCTTCCTAAAGGCACAGACTGGCAACCAGCTGCCAACGCAGCCACTGGAGGCAAGTAAGTCTTCCCCTGCCAAGGGGAACCTGCAGATAAGCCCAAACTGCCTGAAAACTGGACTAGAGGGGCTACACCCCAAACTAAAATGACTTGCATAGGGAGCAGTTCAGGAAAACATGGATGGGAGAAAGGTCCATCTCCCCTGTTTAGGGGTTTGAGTGACACAGGACCCCGGTCAGGACCTGAGGGAAAAGGAGAGGTCAGGTCCTCCTACAGCCCCCCAACCAACGATCTAGCCACTAGGCTGTCCAGCCACTGAAGGCCCTATTACAAATGGTGGAGAATGCAGGCACTGATCTAGTCCCTGCTGAAGGGAATTTAAAAAAAAAAAAAAGTCCCAAGGACAAATCCTTGAATGGAGATGAAACAGCTGCTGAAACGGCTGACCGAGCAAAACACCCACCATCAACAGCAACACCAACAACTCCTGCAGCAGATGGCCATGCAGCAGTAACAGTTAGTTTGCGAATTGGCAGCCCAACAGCAGCAGCAGTAGCTGGCCCAACAGGTTGCATCCATTTTGCGACCTGCTGCTCCAACCGAGCTGCCTAGCCCTGCCCCTATCAGGCTTGCCAAAATGGGGCCCGACGATGATCCTGAGGCTTTCTTAGGGACTTTCAAGTGGATGGAAGTAACCCAGTGGCCCTGAGACTAATGGGTTGCAGTGCTGGCCCCGTATTTAACCAGGGTACTGCAGACCACATACCATGTGTTAGACCCCCACCGCCGTTCAGGACTATGCCCAAGTTAAGGCAGCGATCCACAACACCCTAGATATCTCAGAGGAAACATTCCAGCAACGCTTCCAGGAGGAGCGGTACCCACTGGGAGCCCGACCCCGCTTGTTGCCTGGAAGCTTCACAGCTCATTCTGGAAATGGCTCAAACCAGAAGCAAAGATGGGGGTGCAGGTCACTGAACAGGTCCTGCTAGAGCAGTTTGTCCAGATCCTATCCCCTGGGGGAAGAGAGTGGATGTTGTGGCATCACCCTGACACCACGACAGATGCCATCCAGCTCATGGAGAACTACCTAGCCAGAAAGTCCCCCATGATGATGCCCCCTTTGGGGTCAGCTGGAACCAAGAGCCCCATGCCCCTAAAGGATGGTACCACCTAACGGACACCAGGATCGTGAGGAATGTCGGCCTCCTCCCTCCCTATCAGAGCTCCCGAGGGCTCAAGGATCCAGGGGTGCCAGGGCTTCCCAACCCAGCTCAGGAGACCACAGGTCCACCAGAGGCCCAGCCAGGGTCCTTACTTGGCCCAGAACTTGGGGAGACCCGTTGTGACCAGAGCAATTGGGTACCCAGGCAGGAAACCCCTTGTGCCACCCAAGATCAGGACTGGTGTTTCATGTGTGGCCATTCTGGGCATTGGTCCGGAGAATGTCTGTACATGGAATATAGCTTTGGGAAGGTCTGGACTCCGCGAGCATGAGCATGCCCTGGGAAACCAGCAAAACTGACCATCCTGCTGCTGGTAAATGGGAGAGAAGTAATGGGACTGGTAGATTCAGGTGTGCCCAGATCCTGGTACAAAGTACATGGAGCCTAATCTTGGCCCAACCCAGGGCACCATCATGTTTCAGTGCATACACGGGGACGTGAGGGCCTACCCCCACACAGAAGTGACTTTAATGGTGGGAAGACATGAAGAGCCCCTGATGGTTGGTCTGGCCACGACACTGGCCTAGTCAGTTATTTTAGGCAGGGAATGGAACTATTTTGGGGAATTGTTAGCTGACCTGGTCAAGGGCCCCTGCCTCTGGCCACCGGCTGGCCTGCAGCTGCAACCCTTGTGCGGGTGGGGGAGGTTGCTGACCCTGGTGAAGGGACTTCCCAGTCCTCAGCATCAACCCAGGCCAACCAGGCCCCATCCCAGCCAGGAGGGGAGCTCCCCCCATTACCTGAATCGGAGATTCTGACTCACCTCTCTGACTTTGTGGAGGAGCAACAGGATGACAACACCCTGAGTCAGTCATACGACTAGTTGGCGGCATAGGAGACTAGGGGAGACTGTTGAACCCCACCAAGCACGACGGTTCCCACGCTTTGAGATTCAAGATGACCGTCTGTACCGCACAGAGAAAGACCAACCGGTCAAAGAGGTTTGACATCAGCTCTTGGTGCCCCGACTGTACCGGAAGCGGGTTATGTGAGTCTCCCATGCCATACCCACGGCTGTGCACCTTGGAAGGGAAAGGACGCTAGCCCAGATTTTAGCCCAGTTCTTTTGGCTAGGGGTCTACCGAGACATGGTAGACTTCTGTGCCTCATGCCCAGAGTGCCGGCTCACCACACCTCGGCCAGCTGAGAGAGCCCCATTGATCCCCCTCCTGCCTGTAAGTGTACCCTTTGAGGATGCAAGAAGAAACTAGAATGATACAAATCAAAACGGCACACATTAAATGGATTAAAAACTGGCTGACAGGTCTCAAAGGGTATGTCTACACTGCAATAAAACATCCATGGCTGGCCCAGGTCAGCTGACTCAGGTGCGCGGGGTTCGGGCTGTGGGGCTAGAAAATTGTAGTGTCAATGTTGGGGCTAAGACTGGAGCAGAAAGTGTTCTCTCAGTGTCTAAGAGTGCATGGCCGTCCTCCCCATCTATCTCTGAGGGAGGCCACTCCTCCTCGCTATACTGGGACATTGCCTGCACACAGCCCTGGAGTGAGCCCTGCTAGAATAGGGTTACCATACGTCCGTATTTGCCCAGACATGTCCGGCTTTTTGGTTCTTAAATCTCCATCGGGGAGGAATTTTTAAATATCTAAAAAAGTCCGGGATTTTGCCATTATTATTTTTCCCCAAAGAAGAGTTGATCATTCAAGAAAGAGAGTGAATGTTAATCATTTGAGAAAGAAAGTGAATGTTGATCACTCGAGAGAGTGCCTGATTTTTCCCCCTTGCTCCCAGTGCTTGTGCCACGAAACAGCTGTTTCACGCAGCTGGGAGGGAGGGGGGAGGAAGGGGAATGAGGCGTGCTCAGGGGAGGAGGCAGGGCTGGGACAGGGATTTGGGGAAGGAGTCCAATGGGGCAGGGTCGGGGTGGAGTTGGGGCGGGGACTTTGGGGAAGGAGTTGGAATGGGGCGGAGAAGGGGTGGAATTGGGGCGGGGTGGCGTGTAGGTTATCTTATGACACTACCTATCATTATGGGCAGCGCATGGCGTACACCAAAATCGCTAAAAATACACTTAGCACTAAAACAACACTGAATGTAATTTAACCTTTCCTTGATGATTCAGAAGGCACTTCAGGGTCTTGCAGGGCCTCAGGGTCATCATTATCATCAATTATCACTGTAGATGTGGAAGGTGTAGGAGATTGGGCCGAATCTGTAATGACCCTCTGACACACCCTGGAAGCTGCTTTTTTGAATAAATTCCTGATATCTGCTTGCTGACTTGTCTTCTGCCTCTTTTGCATAAAAGTAGAGTGCAGGATGTGCAATTGCATAACCTCCTGGGCAGTAAACTAGTCCCGGTTACTAGACTGAAGATTTCTATTGGGAGAGATCAGAAAGGCCGGTTAATAGAGCTTTGCAGTTGATAAAGTGATGGATAACACAGCTTTCACCGTAGATAAATAGATAGATAAAAGAATGACTGTGCATGCAACAACCGGTCTATAAATAGTTGGTTGCAGTTGCACTGTGTAGCGGGGTGGTCACCTGCTCCTGCCCTGAAGGGCTTGAAATCAGCCCAGGAGTGGGCTGTGGCTGGGGGCAAGCAGCTCCCAGGCTGATTGGGGAAAAAGGCACTACTGGGGCCATGCCCCAGTCAGGGCCCAGCTGACCCTTATAAGAGAGCAGTGGGCCAGGAGCAGAAACACTCTCTCTCTCTCTCTCTCTCTCTCTCTCGGGCCTGGCTGCTGGGGAACGTACCTGGGTACCTAAGGTGGAGCAGGGCTGGGGGAGGGCCAGAGAAGCTGGAGAGCGCCGGCCTGGAAACCCCACAGGCTGCAGGCCTAGTGTAAGGCCAAAAAGGGTACTGGGGTTGCAGGGGGCAGCCCACAGGTAGGCAGAGGCAGCAGGTCC